TTCATGTCTGGGAAACTGAAACTTTTACTCGCTTCATGAAATGACTTCTTTACAGTTATTCTAACATGGCTCTACTCTTGCTCAGCAGAAAGCAATATACAGAAGCAGAATCAAGCAGTTATTCTAAACTCTTACAAGATCAAGAAATCAGCCTGATTCAGAATTGCAAGTCAATAAGCAATGTCTGGAAACCATGAATCTAGAAATACTTTGAACTTTTAAGATTTATTTATTTTTATTGTCAAGTCAGATATACAGAGAAGAGGAGAGACAGAGAAGAAAATCTCCTGTCCAACGATTCACTGCCCAAGTGGCCACAATGGCTGGAACTGAGCCAATCCGAAGCTAGAATGAGGTGTCTCCTTCAGGTCTCCCATGCAGGTGCAGGATCACAACGTTTTGGGGCCATCCTGGGCTGCTTTCCCAGGCCACAAGCAGGGAGCTGGATGGGAAATAGGGCCACCAGGATTAGAACTAGCACCCATATGGGATCCCAGAGCATGCAAGGCAAGGACTTTAGTCGCTAGGGGACTTTTGAAGGTGGTAGGTCTTGGAGCCACAGGGGCAGCACAGCAACGTGTATCTTGTTGCACCACTTTCAGAATGACAACGTTCCTTTTGTCTCCTACCAGGAAGCATACACATATGTGTGCGGGCTACCCAGGTCAGAGACTGGGAAAAGCTCCATGGAACTCTGCGGCTCAAGAGCCTACACCGATCCGATCCAGGGCCTAATTCCTGTCTTCTGCTCTCTTTTATCCAGAATCCTGGTCCCTTAAGAAAGAAGGCAGAGCGGCCCCCAATACAAAGATACAAGATATTCCTGAGAAGCGTTGAAAACAATTCACCATCTTTCATCACTAACTTAATTTTTTTTCTGGTCCCGGCGGCACAATAGACTAGTGGTTAAATCCTTGCTTTGCATGTGCTGGAATCCCATGTGGTCAACGGTGTGTGTCCTAGCTCCTCCACTTCCCTTCCAGCTCCCTGCTTGTGACCTGGGAAAGAAGCAGAGGATGGCCCAAAGCCTTGGAACCCTGCACCCATGTGGGAAACTGGGAAGAATCTATGGGCTCCTAGCTTTGCCCCTTGTGGCCATTTGAGAAGTGAACCAGCGGACAGAACATCTTTCTGTGTCTCCTCTCTGCCTTTACAAGAAAAAAAAAAAAAAAACTTGAAATAATTTTTTTCTTCCTTTTTTTTTTTTTAAGATTTATTTATTGGGGTCCGTGCAGTGGATGTAGGGGACACGAAGGTGTGAAGAGTATTGTTCCATTGCAGGCAGGGCCGCAAGGAACTTCCCGCTGTTTGGCAGGGCCCTGAGGACAGAGGTCTCTACAACCACCTGAACGCAGCTCCACCTTCTTTTGCATGGACACTGGACCACCCTGCAGAAGAATTCTAATCCATCCAGGCGTTGTTTGCTACTATGAGGTTGGCCTTTTACTCAATGTGAGCTTGGAGGTTAATGTCAATAATAATGTCTTGCAAAAGGGCCTTCTATTATTCCTATTGTCTTGGCTGTTCCCATTGATCTTATGCCAATCAATGGACCTACTTTTAGGGTTTCATTCTTTCCTCATTCTTTAGGTTCCCCTTTTCTTTGTGATACAAGATTGAGTTATAGGATAAGAATTGTAGCAGGAACTTCTATTGTTTCTAGGTAAAACTAATGGCAGAATTATCCTTAGAAATGTCCAACTTGACCATGATGTAAAAAGTCTGAGCCAGAGTTTGATTTTGTATAAATAAAGTGGACAGCTTTCGTGTATTGTCCATTATGATCATGAAATCCTAGTGGTCCGTCTGTCTTTCCTCTTTGCGCCTCATCCACACACCCTTCTCGAGTCCTGAACCCAGCTGGAGCTGGACTCTGGCATTTATTTATTTTTATTGCAAAGTGAGATATACATAGAGGAGAAGAGACAGAGAGGAAGATCTTCCGTCTAATGGTTCACTCCCCAAGTGAGCGCAACAGCTGGAGTTGAGCCAATCCTGGAGCCAGGAGCTTCTTCTGGGTCTCTCTTGTGGGTGCAGAGTCCCAAGGCTATGGGCTGTCCTTGACTGCTTTCCCAGGCCACAGCAGGGAACTGGATGGGAAGCGGGGCTGCCAGGATTAAAATTGGAATCCATATGGGATCCTGGCACGTTCAAGGCGAGGACTTTAGCTCCTATACTATTGCTCCGGATCCTCTTTTTTTTTTTTTTTTTAAGATTTATTTTATTTACTTATTTATCCCATATGGGATCCCAGTTGTTGCATGGCAAGGCTTTAGCCACTGGGCCACTGTGCTGGGCCAAATTTTAAAATTTTAAGGAAAATTTAAGATATGACACTAAAATATAAGATGTGGGGCCCGACGGCATGGCCTAGCGGCTAAGGCCCTTGCCTTGAACCTGCCGGGATCCCATATGGGCGCCGGTTCTAATGCCAGCAGGTACACTTCCCATTCAGCTCCCTGCTTGTGGCCTGGGAAAGCAATCGAGGATGGCCCAAGGCTTTGGGACCCTACACCCACGTGGGAGACCCGGAAGAAGTTGCTGGTTCCTGGCTTCGGATTGGCACAGCATGGGCCGTTGCGCTCACTTGGGGAGTGAATCAACGGATGGAAGATCTTCCTCTCTGTCTCTCCTCCCTGTATATCTGACTTTCCAATAAATAAATAAATCTTCAAAAAAAGTAAAATAAATAAAATATAAGATGTGTGTGCAAGGGATTAACAAGTCAGCCCATTTGTCTAGAGTGAAAAAATTGGCCAGTATAGCGGCAGACATCTGACACAGTAGTTAAGTTGCCACCTGGACACCCATATCTAATATTGGAGTGTCTAGTTCAAATATCGGCTTCTTTCACTTTCCACTCCAGTTTCTCTCTAATGCCCTGGAAGGCAGCAAATGATGGCTCAGGTATTTGGGTCCATGACACCAAGGTGAGAAACCCAGATAGGGCTCTGGTCTCGCTTTGTTCAGTCCTGGCTGTTGTTGGCATCTGTAAAATCAGCAGATGCAAGATTTCTCTCCTCTCTCCTCCCTCATCCTGTGCCCTCTGTGCCTCTGCCCCACCTTTCAAATGTATAGATTTGACCATAATGAAATGAAATAAAAAACACAAAGGCCAATAGAGGTTATATTGTGGAAGTCCCTGAATGTGCTGTTAAGGATATTCAGAAAGCATTACAATATGGAGAGATTTCTGAGGTGTGTAAAAGTGCTACTTGCTAACTTGGCAACAGTGAACAATATGTCTACACTTCTTACTGCCATCCAAAAGGCCCTAGTGGGGGACCAGCACTTTGGCGTGGTGGTTTAAGCCCCTTGCCGTGCGGACAGCCCATAGGAATCCCACTTCTGACCCAGCTTCCTGCTAATGTGTTTGAGAAAGTAGTGGTGGATGGCCCAAATTCTTGAACCCCTGCACCTGTGTGGGAGACCCAGAAGAAGCTTCTGGCTCCTGGCTTTGGACTGGCACATTCACAGGCAATAGGGACATTTGAGTAGTGAGGCGTGGGATAGAAAATTTGTCTCTCCTTCTCTCACAGTAACTCTTTCAAATAAATAAAAATCAATATTTCTTTTTGTGTGTTAAAGATTTATTTGTTTTTATTGGAAAGGCAGATATTACAGAGAGAAGGAGGAACGGAAAGATCTTCCATCTGCTGGTTTAATCCCCATATGGCCACAATGGCCAGTGCTGAGTTGATCTGAAGCCAAGAGTTTACTCTGGATCTCTCAGATGGTTGCAGGGTCCCAGGGCGTTGGGTCATCCTCTACTGCTTTCTCGGCCACAAGCGGGGAGCTGGAAGGGGAGTGGAGTTGCTGGAACACTAACTGGTATCCATATGGGATGCTGGCACTTGCAAGGCGAAGATTTGGTCACTGAGTCATTGCGCCCAGCCCATCTTTATTATTTTTTTCTCCAAAGATATATCTATTTCTTTATTTGAAAGGCAGAGTTACAGAGACAGAGGGAGGGACAGAGAGAGAGGTGCTCCATATACTGGTTCATTCCCCAAAAGGCCCTGATACCTCCAAAGCCAGGAGCCAGGAGCTTTTGTTAGATCTTCTGCACTTGTGCAGTGGCCCAAACACTTGGGCCAGTTTCTGCTGCTTTCCCATGCAATTAGCGGGCAACTGGATCAGAAGTGGAGCAGCCAGAATATGAACCAGTGTCATATGAGATGTGACGTCCCTCACCAGCAAAGTCAGCACTATAGTTTTTTTTTTTTTTTTCCCATTGTTTAAGTTAAGAGATGAAGGGGCCTGTCAGGGAGGTATTAAATCTATCTCCATTTGAGCTTGACTGTCCCCCAGTTATACACCCATAGGCTTATTCTTGGCTAAGTCCATTCACTAAATCCAACACCTTGCACCTAGCTGCTGGTGTTCTGAGGAGAGAGCAGAACTTTGCAGCTAGTCTTGCCCTCAAGGAGCTGATTAGCAAACTCAGCCACTTCAAAGGGCCCTTGGTTGGGGAGACAACGTCCTCCGGCGATCCAGTCAGGTCCACCTTCTCTCCCACACCACCTCCGGGAGTCCTAGGCGGCCCCTGCACTCCAGCCCTCACGGGGTCTGCTTGGGGGTCTGGCGGATCCCGCCACCCACCCACCCACCCCACTCACCCCACCCCGAGGCCGTCCCATCCACCTGGGCCCGAGGCCCCCAGCGTCGCCGCGCGGTCCGCCGGGGCCGGCCGAATGCCGCGAGGCCCGCGCAGCTCGGCGGCGGCCAGGGGCGGGGCCGGGGGGAGGGAGCGGGCCGAGCCGCAGCGCTGAGCCGGGCGGGCTGCGGCCACCGGAAGAGTCGCGGTCGCCAGCCCCGCGCCGGGGGAGTGCAGGGCGGAAGCGGCGGCCGCGGCCGCGGCGGGCGGCGCTGGGACCCGGGAGCTCCGGGAGAACAAGGGAGCTGGCGCCGCGGCCGGCCGCCGAGCTGGGCTGAACCGCTGGGCCGCGCCGAGCGCGAGCGCCGCCGCCGACCGAGAGGCCCGGCTCGGCCGCCCGAGCAGGCCGCGCGCGGGCCGCCGGGCCCGAGCCGGGGCCATGGGCGAGACCAAGATCATCTACCACCTGGATGGGCAGGAGACACCGTACCTGGTGAAGCTGCCCCTGCCCGCCGAGCGCGTCACCTTGGCGGACTTTAAGGGCGTCCTGCAGCGGCCCAGCTATAAGTTCTTCTTCAAGTCTATGGACGATGATTTCGGGTGAGCGCGGCCTCCGCCCTGCCTCGGGGCGCGGTGGGGGGCTGGCCTCTACTCCCCTGGCCTTCTCGGGGCCACCCTGGCCCCTAGCCCTGCGCTCCCCCTCCCCCAGCCGCAGCTTTTGCCGAGGCCGGGATTCCGGCCCCTCCAGGGACTCCCCGTTCTTCTCTTGAGGGTGGAGGATGGAATCTGGGCCTCCTAGTTTGGGGGCTGGGGGAGCGTACAACTCTTCAAAAGGTCAAGTCCCCCCGCCCCCCGCCCCAAACCTCCTCAGAGACCTCACTGAGGGACACACACCCCCCTCCACCCGATCTCGTAGTCCTGCTACCCCTTCTGTGTCCTCCGGTAGACTTGGGGGCGTTGGGCCTTCCTTCGCCTTCCCCATATTTGGATCTGCAGCATCTGAGGGCCCGTCCGTGGAACTTTGAACTGGGGGAGGGGGCGTTCGGGGATGCTCCGGTGGCGCCAGGCCGGTGCAGACCTGGTGTTTATTTAGCCGTCTCCCCTCCGGCCCCTGAAGGCTGCTTGGAGATTGTCTAGAGGGGACGGGTGCCCGAACCTGCGGGAGCAGCCTTCCCCTAATCCAGGTGCTGATCCCTGCCAACTGGGGCCTTTCCCCTGGAGTTGGGGCCAAGGCCGATGCTGGAACGAGGGGGTGGGAAAGAGCCGGGAAGAGCTCTGGGTGTTTGTCCTCTCCCCAGCGGGGTCTCCCCTTGGGCTGCAGGGGCTCTGGGACTCAGTTTGCATGTAACGACTTCCCCTTTAAGAGGGGATGGAATGTTGGAGGAAGGTTCTTAGCAGCTGGCTTGGGAGGGGGGAGTCTGGCTGATTCTCTCTCTCTCTCTCTCTCTCTCTCTCTCTCTCTCTCTCTCTCTCTCTCTCACACACACACACACACACACACACACACACACTCCCTCCCAGCTCCCCCTGGGGACTGGGGGAGGGGAAGCCCCCACACTAGCCTGCCCCACATTAGCTGGGCGCCGGGCCCTCACCTCTGGAGGCCTCAGAACTGAGGGAGGGAGGGACATAAGTGTTCCCCAGGTTTCCTCCTCCAGCTGGCTGCCTTCCCAGGACCCTGGCCCTCGGGAGCCCCAGGAAGCAAGCCCCTTCTGTGTCCATCTGGCCTGTTTGGCTGTGGCCTTCTGCCCTGGAACTCAGGGTGTGGGGAGGCCCCGGAAGCCCGTGTGTGTCAGTGTGTAGTTCCGTGGGAATGTGGGTGTCAGTGTGCTTGCTGCGCCTCCCCTGGGGTTGGTTGGGGGGCTACTAGTATGATGATGACTGCCTGGGCACTCCAGCTGAGAAGATTCTTGAAGAATGAATTAATCTTGAAGGAGTAGGGGCCTTGACCTGGTAACAGAAGGGACCAGAATGCAACCTGGGTGGGGAGGCAGATGCTGTGTGTGGACAGAAATGAGATTGAGAAGAACCAGCCAGAGGATGCCTTGCTAGACCTGTTCTGTACCCTCCACTGGCCGGTGCCTGCTAAGCTTACATCTCTTGGGGGCTGTCTTTCCTTTTCCCAGGCCTAACTGCAGCCAAGCCCTAGACCCTGCTCACTCTTTCCTTAATAGTTTTCTTTAAATCCTCTGTCAGTCCACACTTTTCTATTTCTTCTCTCTCTTTCTGTCTCTCTTTTTAACATTTGTTATTATTATTATTTTTACTTGAAAGGCACTATTACAGAAAGAGAGAGAGGGAAAGACAGATAGATGTTACTTCTGCTGGTTCACTCCCCAAGTGGCTGCAACAGCCAGGGCTGTACCGGACCAAAGCCAGAATCCAGGAACTTCTTCTGGGTCTCCCATATAGGTGCAAGGGTCCAAGGACTGGAGCCATGCTCCAGTGCTTTACTAGATGCATCACTGCCGCAGTCCAGCTCCAGCTGAGTTCGGAACTCGCGAAGGGTGCGTGGATGAGACGCAAAGAAAGAAAGAGACGGACCAGTAGGAACTCTTGACCATCGTGGACGACGCACAAAAGCTGTCTGCTTTATTTATACAAATTCAGTAAAACTCTGGCTCAGGCTTTTTACATCACGCTCAAGCGGGGGGGGGGGGGGGGGGGGGGTTCTCAAGATAACTCTGCCATTAGTTTCATCTAAGGCTAGGTTGCTATTCACCTGGCACCTGGCTAGGAAAAGGTTCTCAATAGATGATGCATATCAGTCAGTAGCACATTCCTACCACAATTACTTTACAGCTAGGTCTTGAAACAGTCAAGGAAGGAAGGGCCCTAAAAGATCAAAGAAAGAGGGAAAGAATAGATTCCCACTACACCTGAAGACAGAACACCCTTGATTAGCATAGGATCAAAAGGGGAGTTAGCACCCTTGATTAGCATATTGCCACAGGATGCAGCCGGAACAGCAATAACAGCTTTTTGGCTAAAAAATCGGCAACAGCAGTATCAGCTTCTAAGCTCCCATTGATATTTAACAGTAACTCCGCGAGGCAGACAATTTACAGAAATTTCAATGGGGTTGTCCGGTGTCCATGCAAAGGGAGGCAGAGCTGCATTCAGGTGTTGTAGAGACATCCACCGGGCCTTGCCACACAGCGGGAAGTTCCTTGTGGCCTTGCCTGCAATAGAACGATACTCTTCACACTTTCCTGTCTTCCACACCCATCACACGGACCCCAGCACATCACCAGCGAGCTGAACCAGAAGTAGAACAACTGGGATGGAACCAACATTCATATGGTATGCCAGCATTGTGGGTGCTGGCTTAATCTGTGCCACTGTGTTGGCCCCTCCTCTTTATTTTTTCTTAGTCTGATCCAACCAATAATATGAAATTACAGGTCTGATTGTCCTCTGTATATTTCCTTCTGAAACACATTAAAAATAGATACTCATCTGAGCAATATTTCTTCTAGTGCTTTAGTCAACTTGCATACATGAGCTGTGCCTTCGTGAGCTCTCAGAATCTGCCACTGTAGCAGGATTGAGAACAGCGCTAAAAATGAAGTGGGCAAGATTGGTTTCCCCTTTATCCCCACAGGGATAATTGAGCAAAAGACTTGGTTGGGCTGTCTTATCACAGAGAACAAATAGCTGAGGAGCTATTATATATAGGTTTTATCTATTTATATCTATTATATATATTTTTTCATCTATTTGGTAAACTTTTTGTGATGCTTCCAGTACACCAAGCACTGACCTAATGCTGTCCAAATCTTCATTCACTGAATCCTCATAACAGCCGAGTGAAATAGGCCATGTATCCCCAGTCTGTAAATGAGGGAAGGGGAATGCAGGAAGTTCAGAGCTCAAGGAACTTGCTCAAGGTCACACAGCAAGTAAATAGCATATCTTGATTCACCATCAGAACTTTTCCTCCAAAATCTGAAGCCTTACTCACACAATTTCAATTCCAGGTGACATTACTTAAAAAAAAAATTATATATTTGAAAGCCGTTGTTAATAGAGAAGAAGAGACAGAAGAAATCTTCCATCAGCTGGTATGATTCCCATATGGTGGTAGGCCTGGCTGAATCCAGGAGCTTCCCCCTGTCTTGCAAGTGGGTGGCAGGGGCCCAAGCACTTGGGACATCCTCCGCTGCTTTTCTAAGCACATAAATAGGGAGTTAGAACAAAAGTGGGACAACCAGGATTCAAACCGTTGCCCATATGGTGCCACATTGCCACCCCACACTCTCAAATGAGAATGTTGTCTCTATGATAGAGATGTGTCCCCTAGGAGAGAGATGTAGAGGCCCCTGGGGCGGCCATTCATCCTGGCCCCAGGCCAGTGACCCCTGCTGGGAGAGGGGAAAGTAAATCAGAGGAGGAGGGTTGCGCTCTCCATACCAGCTCACCCCTGAGGTTCTGGGTGTTAGTCCTGAGGACGCCCAGGTGCCCTCTGGTCTCCAGAAGTATTTTCAAGCTCAGAGTAATCCCAGCACTCCTAAACTATTTGAGAAGTGGAAGAAGGACAAACATTTCAGCGCTGAGGAGATAGCTGATGGATAGAAAGGATAGGTACCCGCTGCTAGACTTGAGCTGGGGAAATGCATCAGGAGGGCAGATGAACTCAGTTTTTTTTTGTTGTTTGTTTTTAAATATCATTTTATGACACAGTTCCATAGGCTCTGGGATTCCCCCAGCCCCTCCCCAAACTCTCCTCCCATATTGAATTCCTCCATATTGTTACAGTAGTACAGATCATGTCCAGTCATGATTCCTTCATTGTGGGTATGGACCATCCGGAGAGTCCAGCATCTTATTGTCCAGATAAATTCAACAATTTCATTGGGAGATCATCCTTGGTCTGAAAGTAGAGTTGGTAGAATATCATCTCCTCCAATGAGATGCCACTACACAACTTCAACCACAGGAAGAAACATCAAAATTAACAACATCATGAAGTTAATTAACATGGTATTGAGTGACCAATATGTTAGAAAATGCAAGTTCTTTTTTTTTTTTTTTAAAGATTTATTTATGTTTTGTTACAAAGTCAGATATACAGAGAGGAGAGACAGAGGGGAAGATCTTCCGTCCGATGATTCACTCCCCAAGTGAGCTCAATGGCCCATGCTGTGCCGATCCAAAGCCAGGAACCAGCAACTTCTTTCAGGTCTCCCATGCGGGTGCAGGGTCCCAAAGCTTTGGGCCGTCCTCAACTGCTTTCCCAGGCCACAAGCAGGGAGCTGGATGGGAAGTGGAGCTGCCGGGATTAGAACTGGAGGCCATATGGGACCCCGGGGCGTTCCAGGCCAGGACTTTAGCCGCTAGGCCATGCCGCTGGGCCCAGAAAATGCAAGCTCTTAACCACATCCTGTAACTACTTCTTTGGCATCTCAATTTTAATGTATACACAACTAGCTACTAGAAACCTTTTTTCTTTCTCCCAAGCTAACATGTTTTTGAGTTTAACCTAAATCAGAGTGGCACAGGAGCAGTGGAAGGATCAACGTGAACACCCATCATATATATAACAGCTGAGTACAAACTTAGCATCAAAGTTTCTATGCAGTTAGGTCTTGTTCAGCATTAACAGTCGTAAATTGATAAAGTTTTTTGGAGAGAAAATTAAGCCACAATTTAAACTTTGCAGTATATACTGATTAAGCATGGTTTTACAGAACTTTGCATTTTAACAATTGAAGAATAGAAAAGTTTTAGGCAGATGAACAGAGAAATCTCCAACAACCCAGTGAGTAAGGAAGAATTTAACTCTACATCCTACCTAGTAAAGTCCAGGAGAAGCAAATAGGAAGCCTGACCAGTAAGTATAGGCTGGAGCTCAGTTTTTGTTGCTTCCCACTCTGTGTCACACACTGGCCCGTCTCTGGCCTCTTAAATCAGTGTGCTTACCCTGCCTTCTTAGCTCCGTGTTCTCCCATCCTCCAGGGTGAGCTTTCTTTGAGAACATCATGGTACCTTATTCTCTTTCTCTCCACATCCCTAGCCAGTGCCTGGCCAGAACCTGACACTGGAGGGTAATGCTCAGCAGATGTCTCTTCTCTGCACACATCTGCTGCTTCTCCCTCTCTGCCTGCTTCCCACTTACCATGCATTTACAAGAACTGTCTGCTGGGAGGCAAGGCAACCCCTATCAGAATAAGGCAGATTCCAGGCCTGGTGCTGTGTACACATGTGCTCAAGTCCGTTGTTCTCTCAGCACCTCCCGCCTTTTAGCTGGATGAACAATGAATGTTGAGCAGATATTTGGTCCCTGCCCTTAAAAACTTATACCTAGTTAGAAAGAAGTTGTAGATTCCAGTAAAAATTGACCTAGCAGTGAAGCTGCCTTTTGGAATGCCTGGGTTTAAGTCAGCTCCAGCTCCCAAGTTCAGCTTCTTACTAATGCAGTCTCTGGGAGGCCGCAGGTGATGACTCTAGCAGTTGATCCCTGCCACCCACATGACAGACCTGAAGATGGAATTTCTAGCTCCCAGCATTAGCCTAGTCTAGTCCTAGCATTGTGCACATTGGCACATTGTGGGGGATGAACTACTGGATGGGAGCATAACCAACTTACTCTCCCTACCCCCACCAAACCCATCTCTGTCTTGCAAGTAAAAAAAAAAAATAAATAATGACCATTGACCAACTTAGTAATAAGTTTTTATTGTATGTCTAGACAGTGTAGGCCATAGCAAGAATTTAAAAAATCTCATTTGCCTTGATGAGACAAAGATAGGAAAGCTAATAAGTGGTAGAATTGCGATCTGAACCCCTATTTGTCATACTGTGCTTGGACTCTGTGTGTGTGCGTGTGTGTGTGTGTGTGTGATTCGTGCCGTGGAAGCCTGAGCCATTTGGCTCTGTAGTGGTGGGGGAGGGCCTGGCTGAGGTCCCCCATGGCTGCTAAAGATCAGCTGATGGTTGTGAGTCAGCAGAGTCTGGGCGACCTGTCAGTGACCCCCAGAAGAGAGAAAACATCTGTGATGCTGTGGGGCCTGCTAAGGGAGGGAGTGGGGACTGTGTAGACAGATTCCCACCACGGGGCTACCACTCCCTGCAAGGCAGGCCATAGAGTCCACGCTGTGCACCCCCTTCCCACCCCTCTTCCTTTGAGCCCCAGCTCGATGCAGGGCTGCAAGCTTGGGGTACCCCGTGGGCAGTCTGGCGGTGAGTCTGAGCTACTTCTGTCCCTTCTTTCCAGTCTCCTCTGTCTCTTGACTGTGACCTGGAACAGGATGATTTGGAGCAGGCTGCCTTTTTTAGGGTCACTGTAGAGTTGGAAATGGTAGGGGAGCCAGAGCTGAATGGGAGGGAGATGGGCAGGTTCGGCTGGCAAACTTGGCTGTGAGTCCAAGAATGTAAGCATCACAAGGAACCAGATGTGTTCCCAGCACTGGGCAGAAGCTGCTTTAAGAATAAGGGGAAACAGGGCCTCTCAATGTCTTTCATTGCTGTCATCCTTTGCCATGAACTCTAGACATGTGTCATTTTCAGCTCTGCTCACAGCTTCCTGGCCCTGTACTCCTGGGTGTTTGACAATCTGATGTCCTCACCTTTTCTGTTCCCTTCCCTGACTCCACCCCAAGTCCATGTCTGATTCTACCTCACTACATTCTCCAAGCCAGACTACATGGCCGCAACCACATCCACATCCCTCAGGCCCCATGTCACTGCCTTTCACCACCCACCCTCCACAGAGACCCACATTAGCTCTGCCTTCATACAGGAAAGACTGAAATACAATGGGAAAAGTTTGGGTTTAGGAGTTCAACAAGTGTAGGATGAATTCAGACTCTGTGGCCTTGGCCAGGTTGCTGAATGTTGCTCAGTATCCTTTTTCAGAAAATGAAGATTGTATTGTCTACCTAATAAGGCTGACATGAAGACTGTATATTCTAACTGTAGGAACACCTAAGAAGGATAAGCCAGTGAAAATAGGTAAGATTATATACGTTAAGGCAGTCTGGCCAGGATGCGCGCTCTAGTTCTTCACTTACTTAGGCGGTATGAGTTTAGGTGAATTACCAAATTTACCAAACCTAGCTTTCCCCATGATGTACCTACTTTATAGTGGCATCCTCGGATTAAGTGCGATCACTTATAACTCTTCAGTTGTCTTAAGGGCATCTGGTCCTTACTAGTTTCCTAAAATTCCAAGCCCACGCCTCCCAGGACAATGTCAGGATTCCTAGGTGAGAAGAGAAGGACAGTGGTGATTGTGTGCTTTCTGCCTACTTTGGGGTCGGAAGGAAAGAGGAGGGCCGTGTGGGAGTTGGACACAGCGCTGAGATTCTCAGGGGTGGCCTGGGGCAGCCATGAGCCTTTTGTAGGTGGCAGTCACCTGACAGAGAAGCTACCCCAGAAGGCAGCTGGTCCCTGTGGGGCTGGCATCTTCCAGGTGGTGACAGAGAGCTGCCCTGGGGTGACCCTTGCTGTGCCCATCTGAACAGGCTTGTGCTGTTGCTCGAATTCCTGACTCGGTGACCCTCCATTTTGATGCTAGAATGTTCTCTCTGACATCCCCATTTTCCTGCAGGGTGGTGAAGGAAGAGATCTCAGACGACAATGCCAAGCTACCCTGCTTCAATGGCCGCGTGGTGTCCTGGGTGAGGAACCTTGCATCCACCTGCATCCCTGTGCAGGGCCAGAGGGAGAGGAGGCATTATTGCACTTGTAGCTAGTGGTAGCTGCTTTAATATTACCATCTCCCTAGTGTGTTGTTGTTGTTGTTGTTTTTAAGATTTGTTTTTATTGTAAAGTCAGATATATATAGAGGAAGAGAGACAGAGAGGAAGATCTTCCATCCACTGATTCACTCCCCAAGTGGCTGCAATGGCCAGAGCTGAGCTGTATTGAGGCCAAAAGCCAGGAGCCTCTTCCGGGTCTCCCACTCAGGTGTAGGGTCCCAAGTCTTTGGCCGTCCTCAACTCCTTTCCCAGGCCAAGAGCAGGGAGCTGGATGGGAAGTAGAGCAGCCAGGACATGAACCAGTGCCCATATGGGATCCTGGCAGTTGCAAGGTGAGGACTTTAGCCATTAGGCTACCATGCTGGGCCTTCTCCTTTAGTTTCTTTTCTTTTTTTTTTTTTTTTTTTTTTAAGATTTAGTTATTTTTATTGCAAAGTCAAATATATATAGAAGAGGAGAGACACAGAGGAAGATCTTCTGTCTGCTGATTCACTCCTCAAGTGACCTCAATGGCTAGAGCTGTACTGATCCAAAGCCAGGAGTTCTTCCAGGTCTCCCATGCAGGTGCAGGGTCCCAAGATTTTGAGCCATCCTCAACTACTTTCCCAGACCACAAGTAGGGAGCTGGATAGGAAGCAGGGCTGCCAGGATTAGAATTGGCGCCCATATGGGATCCTGGCAGTTGCAAGGTAGGGACTTTAGCTATTAGGCTACCATGTTGGCCCCTCTCCTTTAGTTTCTAATGAAATTATTTTTTACCTCACAGTCTTAGCCTCTTCAAGAAGGGTGAGAGTGGTAGAAAGCAAGAAAAAAAAATGGGAGCAGAATCGGAACAAAAATATCCTCTGGGCGCATTAGGCCAGCTGCTCTCACCTGCTGATCCATGCCTTGGACCCATATACCCACTCTGCTTCACCCCCCATACCTCCCAGCCTTCCTGCCTTCCCATCACCCCCCAGGGCAGGGGGCTGTCCTCATACAGCTCTGTTCCTTTTCCCTTAATGTCTGGCTTTGTTCCCCGTCCTTCAAGGCCTTCATGCCCTATCTGATGCTCCTTGTTCCTGTTACCCTGTAACATAGTTCCCCTCATTTTCTCCCCATCAGCTGGTGTCAGCTGAGGGCTCACACCCAGAACCTGCCCCCTTCTGTGCTGACAACCCAGCAGAGCTGCCACCACCTATGGAGCGCACCGGAGGCATCGGGGACTCACGACCTCCATCCTTCCAGTGAGTGTGACTTGAGGGAGGGTAGGAAGGGCTGTGGGGGAGGGAAGGCTGCCTTAGCTCAGCCCAGTATTGGGGCAGGAAGCCCTCAGCCCACCCAGCCCCTGCCCAGGCCTCTCTTTCCCACAGCCCTCATGCAGGTGGGGGCAGCCAGGAGAACCTGGACAATGACACCGAGACGGACTCTTTGGTGTCCACCCAGCGGGAACGGCCACGCCGGAGGGATGGTCCAGAGCATGGTGTGTGTTTTTCTGGAGCAGGAACATGCTCCCTGCCCCCTCGCCCCACTTTCTGGCCCTCTCTTTTTACTCTTGTGCTACCCTGGGCGCGGTGTGAGCCCAGCTGCCTCATCTCCTGCAGCAGCCCGGCTGAATGGAACTGCCAAGGGGGAGCGGCGGCGGGAGGCCGGGGGTTATGATAGCTCCTCTACCCTCATGAGCAGCGAGTTGGAGACCACCAGCTTCTTTGACTCAGATGAGGATGATTCCACTAGCAGGTGGGGCTTTGGTTCCCTGGGAACCTTGGGCAGGGAACCCTGAGGATACTTGGTCACCAGGGTGGGACATGGGCTTTGTGTCAGAGGGCTAGGCCCTGCAGTGCCTCATGTGGGGCAGGGCTGGGAGCCTGGTGGGGAACGGCTGTGGGCCCCCCAGGTTCAGCAGCTCCACAGAGCAGAGCAGTGCCTCGCGCCTAATGAGAAGACACAAGCGCCGACGGCGGAAGCAGAAGGTCTCCCGGATTGAGCGGGTAGGCAGCCCGGGGTGGGGTGGCTGGCGTTGGGGGCAAGCAGATGGCAAGCCCTTCCAACTCTGGCAAGGCTGGGGCTTCTTCAGCACCCTAGCCCTGAGGCTCTTTGGCTCCAACCCTTGGGGCTGTGGGGCTGAGGGCTAGCCTTGAGGAGGAGGCCCCGGCCGCCTGGCCCGTACTCAAGGCTTCTGTCTCTTCCAGTCCTCCTCCTTCAGCAGCATCACTGATTCCACCATGTCGCTGAACATCATCACTGTCACCCTCAACATGGGTGAGTGCGGGATCAGCATGCTCCAGCACCTGCCACCTGCCAGACCCCAGGCACACTCGAGCACCTTTGGGGACAGAACATGATCCCTGCCTTCCCTGAATTTTCTTTCATCACCATCCACTGATGTCTAAACTGATCCTTTTAGCATCTGTAATTTTGGCTGTCTGGGAGATGAGCACAGGCAGCTTGTGGGTGGAGCAAATGACATCAAGGAGGGCTTACTGGAGTCGGCTTACTGGAGGAAGAGGCTTCCTGGAACCCTTTCCTTTCCATCTTTCAACTTCTGCTTTCTTGCTGTGTGGTGTCTGTCTGCAGTCTGGGTACTGGCTTTAGGAGATAGCTGGATGCAGTAAAAACAGCCCAACTTTGGAATGTAGTGCTGAGTTTGCATTCTGGCTCTGTCACTTACTGCCTTAGGAAGTTATTCCAATTCTGTGAATGTCAGTTGCCTGCTCTGTGAACTGGGCTCCTACAGCTGGGGAGGTGGAGTGAGCATGCATGTTAAACATGCTGAACACAGGGCCTGAGTCAGGTTCTGTGAATATCATTTCTTGCCCCTTTTCATCCTTTCCTAATAAGGGGTTGATGATTGGCCTAGGAACCATGCTTCTCTCTCAAGCACTTCAATTACTCCCTGTAGAAAAGTACAACTTCCTGGGCATTTCCATTGTGGGCCAAAGCAATGAACGTGGTGATGGAGGTATCTACATTGGCTCCATCATGAAGGGCGGAGCCGTGGCAGCTGATGGACGCATTGAGCCTGGAGATATGCTGTTACAGGTACCATCAGCCTTCTGGAGTGGCTGTAAGAGTAGGGGGCTAGGCACAGTCCCTGCCCTTTGTACCCTTCTGCTCAGTGAGAGGAGGACCCTCTGACCCACCAAGCTGAGTCTCCCAGCCCCCACCCCCTAGCACAGCTTCTTGGCCCACTTTGCTGGTCCTTTTCCCAGGTAAACGAGATCAACTTTGAGAACATGAGTAATGATGATGCAGTCCGGGTGCTGCGGGAGATTGTGCACAAACCAGGGTATGGCTCGAGATGGCCCTGGGGAGGATGGGCAGGCATTTCCAGCTGTTGAAATGGGTTCAGTGGCTTCCACACAGCCTGCCCTCAGTAGGACCACCTTGTTTTCAGGCCTATCACCCTGACCGTAGCCAAGTGCTGGGACCCAAGTCCACGTGGTTGCTTCACGTTGCCCAGGAGTAAGTGCAGGGGGGACTTGATCCCACAGGTGGTTGTTGACCTGTCTGAGGCCTGTCTCTCCTTTCTTCCCTGTAGTCCTAACCCCCTGAAACCTACCATGTTGGGCTTGGCAGGGTGGGCAGGCCATGACTCCTAATCCTCCCTGCAGGCGAACCCATCCGGCCCATTGACCCTGCAGCCTGGGTCTCCCACACTGCAGCCATGACCGGCACCTTCCCCGCCTACGGCATGAGCCCCTCCCTGAGCACCATCACCTCCACCAGCTCCTCCATCACCAGCTCCATCCCTGACACAGAGCGTGAGTGCCCAGCCCTGTGCCCTGAGGCAGCAGACTGGGCTAGGTGGGAGGGACTGGTAAGGGTCACTGGGTATCTCTTGCCTGAGCACTGGAGAGGGTCAGAGAGGGGGACTCACCTCATGTTGCAGCTTCCCCAGGGAGCACTCCAGCCCTCACTGAACACGTCTACTTCTGAACCCAGACTGAGCATCCTAGGGACCTCAGTTCCCTTTTGTAAAATGAGACTCACAATGCATGCCTCATCCCAGGTTCCTATGGGGTTACTGAAGGGACATATGTGAAGCCCCATCACAGTGTGTGCGTAGGAAGCACTCGGTGTGCCTTGCTAATGATCACAGTGTGCGTTATACACTGTGCTAAGCCTCACATTGACGTTATTTAGTCCTTCAACCATTCTTGTGAAGGAAGTATTGAAATCCCCATTCTTTACAGAAGGGGAAACTGAGTGTCCAAGAAGTCAGTCTTTTTCCCCCCAGTGGTCCCATTACTATCAGATGGTAGGGTTGGCATGCCAAGTCCTATCTGCCTAACCCTGAAGTTCCCTTCTGCCTTCCTTACCCAGGCCTAGATGACTTTCACCTGTCCATCCACAGTGACATGGCTGCCATCGTAAAAGCTATGGCCTCTCCTGAGTCAGGGTTGGAGGTTCGTGACCGCATGTGGCTCAAGATTACCATCCCCAATGCTTTTATCGGTGAGAAAGTCCTGCGGTGGGAGGAAGGATGAGGGTGAGGAGCTAGGGGCAGGGAAGGCCGAGGGCCCAAATCTAGTAGGCCTCCCAGTGACTGACCAACATCCACATCTCCAGGCTCAGATGTGGTAGACTGGCTGTACCACAACGTGGAAGGCTTCACTGACCGGCGGGAGGCCCGCAAATATGCCAGCAACCTGCTGAAAGCCGGCTTCATTCGCCACACTGTCAACAAGATCACCTTCTCCGAGCAGTGCTACTATATCTTCGGAGACCTCTGTGGCAGTATGTGCCTCCCACTTGCCCTGTTTTCCTGGTGGGGAATGGGGAAGTACCCAGGGATATGGCAGCAGACTCTGGGGATCTAGATGGAGTGGGGAGGGGAATAGAGCTGGGGATCCAGCTCCAGGCCTGAGAGGTCCAGGCCAGGCCCAGCCCTACCTCTCCCTCCTCACATTCCTTATGTGCCCGCTTAGCTTGGCTGGCCAGTAAACTGGTTACTTCTAAAGCAGCATTTGTCTCAAGCCTTCCAAGGGCACTTGCCATTGCTGTCCAGTTGCTATTTCTGTTCCAGAGGAGGGGCCCCTGATCTCTAGCAGGTGGTCTATTCTGGGTCTCAAAACTAGATGCATGGAGCGTCTCTGTGGCCCCTAACCCTCTGGGGTTACCCCAAATGTGTGCAGCAAGGCTAAGCACAGTTCCTGCCCAAGCAGGCTCTACCAGATCCCTAAGGATTGCACCCTGGGATGAAACCAGAGGGGTTGTTCAGGGCTCAGGGAACGTGTTGATCCTGAGGGAGGACCTTCTTTATGTGGAGGCCCTGAAAGCCTAGTGGCCACTCTGGGCTTTTCATGGGACTTTTAAATTCTAGGTGATAAGGAGTGCAATATTTCCCCAAACTTTTTTTTTTCTTGGAGAGTCATTTATTTAAAGGAATTACAAAAAGAGCGTCCACTTGCTAGCTCACTGCCCAAAAGGCCGAAATGGCCAGGCCTAAGCTAGACGCTTCATCTGGGTCTTCCACATGGGTGGCAGGCCTGTGCTCATATTGGATGCTGGCGTTGCAGGCGGCAGCTTAACCACTGTCCCCTTCTGACTCTTCAATAATGACTTCATTTAGAAAGGTCAGGTAAACAGCATTCCCTAGCTCCTGCTCCAGCCACAGTGCAGGCTGCCCTCAGGCTGTCTGTTTGAACCTTTGGACCTACCTCACTTTTCCTCATCTGAAGGAAATGGGAGGCCTTCTTTCTAGGGTAGTGGTAGCATTTTCGGGAGACACCTCAATTATAGGTGTGTAGTACCTCATGGTCCTGTTCTTTCAGCCTTCCACTTTTCCCAAATTCATGTCTGGCTAAAGAAAAGAGGAAGTAGTCCACTAAGAGTTTTGTGCCTTCTCCCAGCTGGCTATGGAGGCAGGGGTTGCCAGGCTGTTTGGCTGAGAATCTGAAATGGTGGCTTTAGCTCAGTGCGTTTGGAAAGGCACTCTTCCAAGGCTGGCTTGGAATAGGCAGAGGGGAACCACAAGGGGTGAGCTTCTCTGGCCACCAACTACCACTGCTGCCTTACTCGAACTGGTGCTGGGGGCCTCTTCTGGTCAAGGGGTATAGGGATCTGGGGCAGACCCTGCTTACCCAGCCTTCTCTCCCCAGACATGGCTAACCTATCCCTACACGATCATGATGGCTCCAGCGGTGCTTCAGATCAGGACACGCTGGCCCCCCTGCCACATCCTGGGGCCGCCCCTTGGCCCATGGCTTTCCCTTACCAGTACCCACCACCCCCACACCCCTACAACCCGCACCCTGGCTTCCCAGAACTGGGCTACAGCTACGGCGGGGGCAGTGCCAGCAGTCAGCACAGTGAAGGTGAGGAGCTGAGACCACGGTGGGGGCCCCCTGAGAGTCCCAGGACTCCTCTCTGGTTCTGACCGTCCCTTGTGCCTACCTTGTCCCCTTGCAGGCAGTCGGAGCAGTGGCTCCAACCGCAGTGGCAGCGATCGGAGAAAGGAAAAGGACCCGAAGGCCGGGGACTCCAAATCGGGCGGCAGCGGCAGTGAATCAGACCACACTACCCGCAGCAGCCTTCGTGGGCCGCGAGAGAGGGCCCCCAGTGAGCGCTCAGGCCCGGCGGCCAGCGAGCACAGCCACCGGAGCCACCACTCACTGGCCAGCAGCCTGCGCAGCCACCACACGCACCCGAGCTACGGCCCTCCTGGAGTGCCACCACTCTATGGGCCTCCCATGCTGATGATGCCTCCGCCGCCTGCAGCCTTGGGGCCCCCTGGAGCACCCCCGGGCCGTGACCTTGCTTCGGTGCCCCCTGAACTGACCGCCAGCAGACAGTCCTTCCGCATGGCCATGGGAAACCCCAGTGAGTTCTTCGTGGATGTGATGTGAGCAGGCTCCCCCATCCCCTGTTCCGTCCCACCCCATTCCCGAGCCGGTCAGTCCCCCCCCATCCGTCCGTCAGTCTTTTTTACTGTGTCTGGTACCTAAAAGGGAAATAAACAAAACTAAACCGAGGCGCACTAACTGCTAGCTAGCTGGCGAAGTGAGGAGGGGCCCCTTCTCCACCCACTCCTCAGCCCCTAACCTGCCTCCGGCCCCAGCTTGCCTCTTTGCCCATTAACCACTGTGCAGTTTCCTCCTTGCCCCAGAGTCTGGACTTGCTAGTGGTGTCCTGCTCTGCCCCCTATACAGGCCAGGAGCTGAGCTGACCCTGGGGTGTCCTGTCAGTTTTCACTTAACCATTCATTCAGCTTCCCCTTGTTGGCACCCTGCCCCCCACTCCCTGCATGTGTGCAGGTCTCTTGAGGGTGTCTCATGATACTGACACCAAAACCCGCTGCCCTTGCCTGCCCCTCCTAACTGCCCCTGCTTGCAGCCTCAGTCCTGCACCCTGTTGTCTTCAGGAGCCATTTGTGCCATCCCTGCTTGTATCCAACTGGGACCACGCCTGCCCGTGTGCTAGTTTCTCCAGAGCCTAACCCCACTAACCGGCAGGCTCTTCTCACTCATGGGCCTGAAATATTTCTTTTCTCTCTTTTTTTTTCTTCCCCCACTTTTTCCTGGGCCTGGAGCAGCCAAGAATTTCGGGCTCTTTGACTTTCTGTGAGCCCCGAGGGGAGGCCCAGCCTCTGAGGAGACCAGGAGCCCTGCTTCAGCAGCACCTCAGGGCTTCCCAAGGATGTTCAGCCCCCACACCCATACCACATTAGGTCCCTGGGCTTCTGGGGAGGGCCCTAGGCTTGCCCCACACAGGTCAGAGTGCCCCCTCTCAAGAGAACACACTGTATCTCTACACACACACACACCCCACACACACACATGTGCACCTATGCAAGTTTGCTCACACTCAGGGCTGGTCCCTGCAGAAAGGGCTGGACCCTCTCCTTTACCCTTAGTCATTTCCCAGGTTATGGGGCTGGTCCCCTGTCTTCCCTCTCCTCTTCCTTTTAACACTTTTAGTCTCAGACACACACACATACACACGGCCAGCATTGTTCCACCTGGATAAAGCCTGCAAGCTGAGCTCATCAAAGGACTCCCCACGACTGATAGGCCATTTGTGGGCCCACAAGACACTACATTCATGACACCCCAGAGCACAGCCGCAAGGGCCTAGAGGCCAGCTTTAGACAGGGGTCTTCTGGGACTTGCAGACATAGTGCCAGGTTTTCTTACTTTTTACCTCATTCTCTTTATACAGATCAGGCCTTCTCTCTTTAAGCCTCTGTGATAAATCCTGGCTCCTTCAAGTTCCCATATTTTCAGGGCTGGGGTGTCAAGAGTAAGATGAGATCATTCGCTCTAAGCTTTGGAGCTAACCAAGGTAGGGCTGTTAGCATTGATTTCTCCAACAAACACTTCCTGGAGTTCTGCTGGGCAAAGGCTGTCTTTGTTGAAATTTGACTCAGTCTTGCCTGCTCCCTGGGAGTTCTGGGTTTACTCCCTCCTTAGACCACGGCTTCCTCTAGCCATCACCACAGAGCTGTTTGCTCTACTTGCTTCCACTCTTGCTCATGACAGTGTCAATGCTTCAATTACTCCATCCTTTGGTGCACTTCTCTTTCTCTATTACTCTCCAAACGGTGTCCTCCATCTTGACATCTTCAGTGCTGCTGACATGCTGGGAATTTACCACCTATGTTGCTCCAACCCCAACTTTTCCCCAGTCTCAGCAGAGTATTTTTTATGAAGACCTGGACAGTCTCATGGACCTGTCTACATGAACTCAACTCATGCCTCCCTCCTTCCCCTCCGCGCCGATCAAATGTGTTCCTCCTGCATTCCAGTGCTGATCACCTGCATCGTGACCTGCATAGGTTCACTGACTAGGAACATTTATGGGCTTAAGTTCCACTCCCCCCCCCCTTTTTTTTTTTTCATATCTTACAAGTCATCATACCATATCCACTGCATCCAACAGCCTTTTTGGAATTTGGCTTTTCTTTCCCCTCTGCCTCTACTTTAGTTCACTAGAGTGTGGGATTTGGACTGGGGTTGTTCTGAGTCTGAATTCTAGCTCTGATCCTTTCTGATTTTGTGATAGGAGAGTTATCTAACCTCTCTGAGCCTTGGCTCCCTCCTATGTAAAATGATAATAATACCTACCTCACAGGGTTGTTGTGAGGATTGAAATTAGAAAATTGTACGAAAAGTGCCTAGCACAGTGCCTGGCACAGACTAGAGTAGGTGCTCAATAAATGGTAGCTATTATTACAACGGTCATCATTACTGTTTATTCCACCTTGATAGGAGTATGTTTGAAAGATGAAGCTTTTGCAGGTATGCACGAAGGTTTCGATGCTGGTCATTCAAGGGCTTCCGGTCGTGAGAACACATCTTCGTCCTGCTACATTCTGTCTTCTGGCTGAAGACTGCTAGGGACAATACTAAACCAGATTTTCAGGGAATCTGCCCACAGAGAGAAAAGAAGCCCAAGATTTTTCCTTCTAGTCCTGAAAGACCCAGGCAGGCCTTTCATGTTTGAGGGCTGGTTCTGTTTCTTTTCACCTTGGATGTGAAGATTAATTCTGTTCACCAAGAGGGCATTGCCAGTCCCTTGGCCAGTGAAGTTCGACTTGCTAGCGTTTTCTAGAAAACATAGAAGGTGCACACAGAGAACAGCACACTCATGAAAAGCTTCAGCTAGTTTCAGGTTCTGGCTTTCTGATCCATCTGGTCCATCTGTCTGGGACAGATAGAAGAGCTTGGGGGAACCGGAGGTGGTGTTAGAAAACAAAGTCAGCACAGACACTACTGCCACGGTGCATGTTTGTGTGCAAGGTGAGGACAGCCAGTCCTTGGACTCCACGCAGAAAATGCCTGAAGCAACCCGACAAAAAACTTCCTCTGAGGATCTTCCCAACATTGAAATAGGAACGGGGGACTACAAACCCCAGAATGCTCAGTGAGGAAAATGAAGTGGGTGGGGCGGCGTATGCCGGAATGTTAGACTTCTGCTCGGGGAGGATAAGGCCACGCTCGCCTCCACCCCACTCCCGGAAGGCGGGTACAGCTTCTCAAAGGCAATCGGTAATTGTAGTCTTGCTAGACCTGTTAGTGTTTAAAAAAAGCAGGCGAGGGGCCTGACGGGATTTGTAGTCTATGCGGGAGGCGGGCGCGCACGCGCAGCCGGGGCCGGGGCGGGGCCGCGGCACTGCGGTGAAAGCCGAGGCAGCGGCCAGGCGAGCAGGGGGCGGGCGGACATCTTGGGATCCGGAGAGTGGCCAGGCCGGCCTAGCGCTGGGGCCGCGGGGCACCAGGTGAGCTGGGATCTAGCCTTTTGGGGTGGAGGGTCGACGACGCGGGTCGCTTACTCCGCAGCCCAGCGATGCTATTCCTTGCGTGGGCTATAAGGCTACCCACACCCGGGAGTGGCCTCAGCCTTCAGACCCGGGAGGGAGCTGACGGCGGGGCGGGGGTGCCCGGGGCGCGGTTGCAGGACGGGTGGGGAACGGCGCCTCCCGTGACGGGGAGCCTCGCTGGAACCCTCCCGGAGCTGGGCCGCCGCGCGGACCTTCTCCCTGGGATCGTGACAGCCCCCCTCCCCCAAGCTTTGAGCACAAGGACAGCTCCACCCGTCTCCCGGGGCAGTGACACCCGCTCGTGTCGCTTGCTTGGACGGTGACAGGGCTAACTCCATGCAGCCACCAGTGCTCCAAGCTCCGTGGCACTCCGTGGCGCCGTCTCTTCCCGCGATGTCTCCTGTTTCGGGCCAAAAGTCCCTACTCCTTCAGGCCTCGACACGCGGACCCCAAAACAGGCTCCGTCTCCCCAGCTTTCTCGCTTTACCATTGTCCATCTCTCCTGCCAATTTTTTCCTCCCTGACACCGTCACCCTGGCCTTTTCCATACTGGAAACCCCTTCCTTGAGATGCCCACACAGCGGCCCTGGCTGCAGACTCTCCCAAGGATCCGCTGTCCGCCGCCCCCGCCAGTCGTTTTTTCCTTCAGTGAGATAGCTGCCATCCCCATCCAGGGCCTCACCTCTGGTTCTCTGGCGCCCTGAGCTATCTACAACTTGATACCCCACAGCCTTGGTTCTTTGCCCTGGGCTGAACCTCCATTTTGCACTTCTCCCCTCAGCCTGTGTGGGGCTGAGGGATGGGGTGTCTGCACCCTTGGAGACCACTCACAGGCCTGGGTGGCCTTGAGCTCGTAGTAGAAGGCTTTATTTTTCAGTTTTTGAAATCCTGCTGAACAATTCCCTGTGAAATGAATGCCAGGGCTAATCTAGGAAATCTAGAACCAAATTAATGCCTTTTTATATTAGTTTGACCTAATAAATCAATTGGATGGATCAGGCGTTCTGGCCCCCCAGCCTCTGGCTTATAGGTGCTCTGGCCAGAAGGGAGTTCCTGAGGGAACCTAGAATCACTGTTCCAGCTGGAAGGATCTGTGACCCACCCTCCACCCCATCCTTATTTTTCTTACACTCTGGCACTTTTTGAAAGAGGGGTGTGCGAAATAACTAATTTGCAGTGTGGGTCATTGACCAGTGCCTGGGACCTTTCTCCTCTGTTCTTTAGCCTGCTTATCTGATTGCCTGGGAGAAGTTGAATCCTTGGCAGGTCCTAAGGCCTCCTTTCTCTCCTCCCCTGCACACCCTTTCCTGGAATGTTTAGGCTCCTGGGGCTTCAGGCCTTGCTGCCTTCCCAGAGTGCTAGAGGAGCCTCAGAGACAGGGTGCCTCAGGCTGAGTACCAGGCTAGAGTGATTGCTACCGCCAGCACTGCAGCGGCAGGCAGGTCTTCCTTCCCACTACAGCTCATTGTCGTTGGTCTTAGAGGCTCCCAGGAGGGGTTGGAAAGGACCCTTACTGAGCTCAGCTCAGCTTCTCTGCTTATACAGGAGGCAGGAGCTACTCTGGCTCAGCCTGGGAGAAAGAAGGCTCAAAATGGCCTTAGTGACCCTGGACCCAAGTCTTTGCTATTTCTTTTCCTTCATCTAGTTTGGAATAAACAGGAACTGGAGCCTAGTTGAGGGGAAGGGCATGCCTGGGAGGGCCATAGGGTCACTTGCTGGAGGGTTGAGTCAGGGGAAAAAAAAGCAAGCCAGTGATCTGTGCAGCCCCAGCGGGGCTGTTGGCTGGCCTTCTGAAGTCTTTGCCTGCCCCACCCCTGCCTGTCCTAGGTCTGTTCTCAGAGCGATGGGCCACCGAGACTGAGCTGCCGCCATGATTGGAGGCCTGTTCATCTATAATCACAAGGGGGAGGTGCTCATCTCCAGGGTCTACCGAGATGACATTGGGTAAGTCCCCTGACTGAGCCAGCCATGCCCCTACTGCTACAGCATGCAGGACAAAGTGTGTGCCAACCGGAGGCTTGACCTGGGCCACTCCCGCCCCTCGCTGCATCCTTGAAACTCAAGTAGTGTATCCCAGTTCTGAGTAGGTCTGGTGGTGGTGGCCTCGCATCCGGCTTGCCAGCCTCTGGGTGGGACCTGAGAAATGGCGTGGCTCCCTTAGCCCTAGAGATTCCTACACCTCCCCCAACCCCATTTCCCTTAGTTACAAGCCTGTCTGCCGGAGATGAGTGCCTTTGCCCAGACAGATGGGACAGGGATATTCCTCCCCCATACCGAGGAAGTAGAGTTAGTGACCAGGCTGCAGGTGTTAATCCATCTAACTTGCTCTCCAAAACCTTATGCGGAGCGCCTGCACTGGATTCTCTTGAAAAGCCCCTTCTGCTGCCTTTCTTAGGAGGCTGCCGACTCAGCTGTTTTCAGTTCCTCTGGAAGATAGGCCATTCCAGGAAGACAGGTTGTGGGCAAACTTGAGGCACTTCCAGGTCTTTGAGGGAAGGGCAGGGAGGCCACACTGTCCTTTCTGGCCCCTCAGAGGATACTCAGCACAGTGCCATATTCTGAACCCTTAGATCCTACAGCACCACGGCCTTACTTCTGCCGCACCCTGCACACCATTGTTCTGTCCTGGCTGAGGGGGCTTGTCCCCGCCTCAGTAGCTCTGAGGAGATTATGCCCCTCTTGTTCCTGCTACCCTGTTTTGCTTCCTCAAGGAGCTTGAGATCAAAGCCACTGAATGGACCTGTTGCAATGTCCCTAGCTCTTTGGCTCCTCCCTGGCTGATGGGCTAGCCTGGCCTTCGTGGCTGTTTGCCTCTCAGCTGCTGGGAACGGCATGAGCTAGGCTCTGGGCAATACCTGGCCCATCTGGCACTGGCTGTCCGGACCTGGGTAAGTTGAGGTGAGGCCACACTCCCTTGCAGTGCCTCGCTGTGCTTTAATCCTCTGCCTGCCTTGTCTGCTCCCACCTCATGGTGTGTGCTATGCCCCTGGTGTGTCATGTGTCTAACCCTCTCTCTCATTGCTGTCACTCTCCTCTTCTTGCTGGCGTCATTTCTCTCATCCCATCTCATTGGCTGCCGTAGCAATAGGTAAGCGGCCTGTCAAGCTGCTGCCCCGGTACAGGGTACAGGTGGGTGGGGGACCTTGCCCACCTCCACCCCGCATCTCCTGAGTCACTGTATTCCTTCAGCCTTTTTCTGTTCCTTGAATTTGCCCTGGAGTTAGATCCCAGACAAGAATGGATGGCTCAGTTCCATGTTCCCATGGTACTTCTCCTCCACTAGATCAGAGCCTTCTCCAAAATCTTGCTAGCTTTGTCTGCCTTCTAGAGGAGTCAGTCTTGCCCACTGCAGGGGCAGCTAGTGGAAGGACTAAAGAAACAGGGTCTCATTCTCTGCCGGAATTTACCAGGACACTGGAGAGGTGGTAGCTGGGTTAGAGCTGGGAAAGTGGAGGCAGGCCTGGCAAGCCAGGAGCGTATCTTTCCATATCAGATGAGCCTCACTTTACATGCTCACATCTGCCCTCCCAGCATTGCCTCTCGACTTCCCTATTTCTCATGGTCTTTGGCCCAGCTCAGGTTCCCACTGGTTTCCTGGTGGTGTAGGCATTGTCTATGGAATGCATGATAGACTTCAGCTGTAAGCAGGGTGGGGCTTTTGGCAGCTGTAGTTGGGCCCAGCAGGCTGAGGTTTGTCTAGGTACTGAGCAGTCCCTGTGCATCCTTTTTCCCACAGGAGGAATGCAGTGGACGCTTTTCGGGTCAATGTTATCCACGCCCGGCAGCAGGTGCGCAGCCCCGTCACCAACATCGCTCGCACCAGCTTCTTCCATGTTAAGCGATCCAACATCTGGCTGGCAGCTGTCACCAAGCAGAATGTCAACGCTGCCATGGTCTTCGAATTCC